CTTGTTGATAACAGGAGTTATTAAATTATTTGAGAGTGCTTAATATTATTAGGTTAATTATTGTAGGAATTTTGTGGTAGATTAGTGATAGCAAAAACCCTGAAATTTTTATAGTAACTTCATTGTATTATTATGTGCTCACTGTAATTTTTGTAGCCCTAGAATAGACTACTTAATATGGTAGCTCAATACCTATTAAGGCTAAACGAATAATAGCATGATATTGATTTATAAAAATTAAGCACTTGTACGGTGAGCTTGAAATCTATTTGGTAGAGATAATGATTAGCTTAACATCTTAGTCATTAGAGCTAGCTTAGTAGCTTAGCATGTGTATTTTTATTTTAAGAGTTGTTGTTGCCAAAATACTAAGTGTTGCATCATCATCGCATGCATGTAGAGAACGAGTTGGGGGAGATCGTGACCATCGACGATCACGAGTTTGAGAAAATCATCGAGTAGTACGAAGAGGAGATTCTCGTACAGTATGGAGCCCTGGAGCCACCAGTGACTGACTTTGCTGACATCGCGCCTGCCCAAGGCAAGTCCCGGTGCATAACCCTTATTTTGAATGATCACTGGATATATATATGTGATGTGCATTTACGTTACATGAGTTATATTGAAACTACATGCATAGATAACCTACCTATGAGTTCTAGCATAAGTCAAGTAGTTGCTATGCTTGGGCTATCAGTAGCATGAGTAACCTGCCGTTACTCACAATAGGTGATTATTATTACTCTTATGATAAAATGGTGAAAGGAAATGAAGACCGGACAGGGATATGGTACGGGTATTGGTGGGTGTAATAGATTGTGTCCCGCAGTCAACGGGGCATAGCTTGGTTACACCATTTTTCCTGTCCATGTCGGTTAAGGACCGTCCGTTGCATTGGATTTTAGTCAGGTCACAGACTTATTATCCTGAGCACATACTTGCTTATGGGAGTGGAAAGACTCGTTGCTATCTTATCGTGGGTTCCGACTCTTTTCGGACCGACTGACTGGAGACGGGGATGGTGGAGGTCTAAGCACCACACTGAGTCTAGGACTTAGGAGTGGGGACTTGGAGTCTAGGTTTGGACGGAGACCTGGACCTCTTGATAGGAGAGTGGTGGGTTGATCTTGCTTGTGTCTAGGGTACAAGTGAGGCGTGTGTTTCGGAGTACCCAGTTGGGATACATTGGTTCGCGAATCGCCATGTGATACGGTACGACTTGTCTACGATATAGCACCGTAGTAAGAACTGAAAGATGAAAGATGGTGAAATAGATCTGATTGCTCAACTCTTGCTTGAAAGTGAAACATGTGCTTACATAGGATGGTTAGCTAATGAACTAATCATGACCGCTAATAAAACACATACATAAGGATTCACTACTAGTAATGCTTTTTGTAAAAAGGAAACCCAGCAAACCATAAAGCTTATCATATCCTTTGGAGTTAGAAAATTATTCCCACTAGTTGGGTAAGTCTTATGAGTACATTGTCTACTCAGGGTTTATTTACCCCTGTTGTAGTTGCAGCTTGAGGAGTGGCTGTTGTGTGGAGGATTCTTCTGGTGGGCACAGACAGATTCTCGTATCTTATCGTTAGATGTTTATTTTAATTCCGCTGTTTAAATTCCACACTCTGAACTTGGTATTGTAATAATGTATTTTCGAAAACTCTGGTTGTATGAAATGGACTAAATATTGTAAACTTGTTCTCATTATTGGATTCTGGATGAAAAATGTGGATCGTTCGAGTTCTCCCTTGGGGTGTACTCGATGGAACCGTCCGATGTAGCCAGCTTTTGGGGTGTTTAGTGTCTGGTGGAAGATGAGCGCCTCTAGAAGCGTGCTATTTCGGACGGTTCTGCCACAATATTGTCCCGTATTTTTATAGAATGCTATTTTTAGATATTTTTTAAACCTTAGAAAGTTATTTATTTTTTATGGAGGGAGTAAACTTCTTAGAAAAAAATTCTGATCTCTGCAAAAAATTTATACATCATGTACCCTTATTAAAACCTATTTTCTGGCCCAGTGTGAATGATATATCGCTCATAACATCCGCCTCACAGTTTAAGTCAAATTCTTGGATTTTTGTTCAGGTTGTAACAAGTTGACAACACCGTCCTAAAAAAATTCTTTGGACGCATGTACAGTTCATGGTTTGGGCTGTATTCAGGGCACATGCGGAGCAGTTGTATAGTTTGAGCCCTCGCTGTGATTTACTCAAATGATTGGGCCATGGTTGGGGAGAAGATTGCCTCCCCCGACTTGTTAAGGCGAAAACTCAGGTCACACATGTGACAAAAAATGCCACTAGGAGCCTGTACAAAAATATGTGACAGGTTAAACTTGAATAAGCAATCGAACGGCAGCATAGTAGGGTGTGGCGTCCTTCATTATAGCGTGGCTCGTCGTGGCGGCCAACCAAACACTCCCTAAAGTTCTCTGTTATTTTTTTCTTTTTTGATTTGATGCAAAATGTAGAGCTCTCTACTCTATTTTTTTTGGCTGCATACATTATTTTTTTTGCAACATGAAGATAGGCTCTCTCATCTTTTTTCCGTTTGTTTTGGTGCACTTATTTTCAGCAACACAAAGATATAGAGCCCTCTGCTCTTTTTTCTCTTCGATACATGTATTTGTCAATGCAAAAAATATTATAGTACAAAGAATTCTTTCTCGATCCTGTACCTCAACTATCACTCTCTCCTTCGTCTCTCGATTTCTCACTCCACCCCCCTTGGTCCGTCACTCTTCCCTATTTATATGTAGATTATATCCTCCTCCAACATGGTGTCGGTTACAGTTTAGAGCCATAAACGCTCATGTTGTGGCTTGACTGCAGGTTGTGTGTAAAAGTCAGGCGTGACTATGCACTCTCGGGCATGTGGCTTATCTTCCACATTTCTTAACCTCACAACAGACATAGACAGTAGCCACCTATTTAAGTAAAGTGAGTTAACATCCAGTCAAATTTTCATACATGATGGATCCTTTATTTTTTTAGAAATGATGGCAAAAACTTTGCCGCAATTTCTATTAGACGAAGAAAGAAAAAAAAGACAAGTAACAGCCCAGTTTTTTGAATGGAACTGGGTAGAGAAACCAGATCAATCCTTTATTGCACGTAGCATTTATTACAAGTCATAAATTTATTCGATTTAATTGTAATAAGGTTGGACCAAGTCAAGTGACATTTAATAAATATATAGCTAGCTTATTATAGTTGGCATGGACAGGTCTAGAACTCTAGATGACTGCACAACAAGTTACACGTCCAGTTGGCACATACGAATGTTGCTACCAGTACTCCCTATATCCTAAAACAAATTAATTTATATAATCACCCTAAGTCAAATTATCTTACATTCAGTCAACTTTATAGAAAGAGTACCAACATTTATGACATCAAATAAGTATATTATAAAATATATTTCATGTGCATCTAGTGATACAAAATTTGGTGTTATTTTCTATAAATTTAATTAAATTTAAGAATAGTTTGAGTTGATTTAATTTGAAATGAAGAGAATACATACCAAATGAAAAACATGAACCCTTTTTGATGACCGGACGTCCTCGACTATCCGGTTCCGGTACAGTGTTGAGGTCCAGCCGCCCCCGCCCAGGACCGGTGGCGTCACGGGTGGGTCCACCGCGGCTTTTTCCTGTCGCCTCGGCTGCTTGCCTAACGCGAAGGAAGCGCCACGTGAGCGCCGCTGGTTGGTGGAGCAATGCATTCCAGCTTCCAGGCCCAGGGTCAGTGGATTGGATGGATGGTAGCTGCACGCATTTGGGTCGAATTAGCATTTCCTGCGGGCCTTGGACCTGGGGCTCGGAAATGCTTTGCTCACAAAGTTCGAACGATTTTGGCCTGGTTCAGTTCCTCTCTTACAGTTTATACTTCGTTGTATCGAATATCTGACATATGCATAGAATATTAAACATAAATTAAAAAATAACTAAATATATAGTTTACAACTAATTTATGAGACAAATCTTTTAAGCCTAATTAGTTCATGGTTTGACAATATGATGCTACAGTAACACATGTACTAATGACAAATTAATTAGGCTTAATAAATTTGTCTCGATGATTACTAACGGATTCTGTAATTTGTTTTTTTATTAATATGAAATACCCATACAATACCCTCATATGATACTCGATATGATACCATAAAACTTTACGCTCTGGATTTAATGTAAGGCCTAGTCCATAAACGACTTTCGTATCAGAAAAGCTCGTCCGTGTTCACTACCGCTGTGGCAGTAGCATTTAAGCATATATGCCAAACCATTTATTAACTCTGCCTCAGCTCACATAGCCCGTGTTTAGTGTTACTGTAGCACTTTCGTTTTTATTTGACAATTAGTGTTCAATCATGGACTAATTAATTTCAAAACGTTCGTCTTGTAATTTCCAACTAAACTGTACAATTAGTTTTTTAAATACATATTTAATCTTCGTATACGTATCACAAGATTCGACGTGATGATCTGAAGACTTTTTATACTTTGGTGTTGGAACTAAACACGCGCATAATAAAAAAAAGCAAGCACGGACACAGAAACAGACAGCAGTCGTCCTCCCCAAAATCCCCATCCGCAGCTTCAAAACTCCACCCAATTCAATTTCATACCGCAATCTCCCTTGCCTTCCCTTCCTTCCCTTCCTTCCCTTCACAGCTCCATCCATCCACCCTCCTCCAATCTCCATCGCCATCGCCAATCCTGAGCTGAAAGGAAGGCCAACAAGAGCATCATAGCAGTCTCGCACCACGCGAGAGAGAGAGAGAGACCAACACCAGGTCACCACTCACCACCACGAGACAGGGACACCGACGGGCGCCATCCCCATCCACCACCACCCTCCCCAGCTTCCGTTGGCTTCACTCCCACTGCAGCCCCCCCTCACTCGCTCACTCCCCTCGCCCGCACCACAGATCTTGCCCGCCGGAACCCAAATGCCGCTGGAGGCCGCGCCGGGGGAGTGACGCCGATGCAGCGCCGGGTGGTGGGCATGGCGGACGGCGAGGCCAGGGGGCGGACGCTCGGCGCCGTCATCAAGGAGAAGGATGAGGAGCTCGCGCTCTTCCTCGAGATGCGCCGACGCGAGAAGGAGCGCGGCGCTGCGGCCGCGGCCGCGGCGGACCAGCTCCTGCTCTCCGGGGACGTCGCGGCGGGGGACGGGATGCTGCTCCTCGACCCGCCGCCGCCACCCGCCGGTGAGAGCTTCATTTCGGGCTCTCCTCCGGGCATCCTCCGGCCGTTCCTTTGCATTTTACTCCTGTGCTCAGGGAAACCCTAGCTTATCTTGTCTTGGTTTGGATTTTTGGTTATTTGTGGTCGTAGAACCCAAACCGGCGGCGTACAAGGTGGCTGGCGGCGGATTTAGGAGGGCACCTGGCGGAGGGGACGACTTCCTCAATGCAGACGCCGGCGACAAGAACGATTACGACTGGTGTGTGCTTCAGTTCCGAGCTTTTACTGGCATTAGCTACCAAATTTCCGCTAATTAGCTACCAATTTTCTGTTATTTTGGTTCTGGGCAACATAGCCATTGGTGCGAGAATGATTCTAGCCAATTCGCATTGTAGCATTGTAAACTTCAATTCTGCTCTGTTCTATTGTCGTTTAGGGCTTCAGGGAGTTTGGTGAGGTTTTAACCGTGTAATGTTTAGTGCGGGCTCCCTAAATCTTGATTCCTGGTTTCCGATGCTGAATGCAAAACTGCAGGACTGTCAAAACTGACAACTCTAGGGCTTCATAAGTTTCAAGCTAAATCTTCATTCTTCAGTTGCCTTGCTAGAAACAAAGCGCTGAGTTCCATTTTTCTGTAATTTTGCCTTCTGTGCATACGGTCTAATATGCTGTCCATGCGTACCATAAAGTTTGTCTTTGGTGAAACTTTAGTGATTGTAGTTAGATTTCAGTTGGTGTTGCTGGGAAGGATGGGTCATGGTGGTAGTTGGAGCTAACAGTTGGATCTCTTGTCATCTTTGGTTTCTGCTCCTCTTTTTGATTGCTTGTCTAGTTAATGCATGATCATAAAGTTGTGCTATCTGTTTCTGGAGTTATCAATCAGTTAAGTTCCTTCTCTTTGCTTTCTGGTTGGTTAGCTAGCCAATATCTTTCTAGCTTGCCATGTTTCTTGTGAATCTGGTGCTTTTTCAGTAGACGCAATAGTTCTGTATTGGACACATTTCGACATCGGATGCCATAATTCCTATGACCTACAGGCTACCAATCTTGGTCCTGGTTGATTTGAACTGTATTTGTTTGTTAGCAGGTGTTAGTCAGGATGCCTTAATTCCTATGACCTACAGGCTACCAATCTTGGTCCTGGTTGATTTGAAATGTATTTGTTTGGTAGCAGGTGTGAGAAATTTATATGATTTGGTGATAATGACACATATTACCTTTTTTTTTTGTTAGTTTGGGATTTCTAGTTGATAGAGTACAGGATTCCTAAGTAATTAGATTATAGGTGGCCATGTTAACACATTAAGACAATTTCGTTTTGTCAAGAGCTTGCTGATGTGTGGTTGGTAGAGAGCAGGTGGACTATGTAACTAAGCTCACAGGATATTTTCTTTTCTGGTTCTTGCGTGCTTTGTAGAAGTGCTGGGTTAGCTACTTGATTTGGTTAGGGCAAAGTTAATCGAAGTGGGTTAGGAAGTGACTCAAAGCAACTGATTTATTGGGTTTGTGTGTTATCCATCCAGAGTGCACAATATCAGAAACTCTGTATGAGATAGATATCTGATGTCATTTCAGACTTAGGTGGTATCCTACATATTTTGGCACCTCTGTTGCTTGTATATTCTCTAATTCCACATTGAGTCCATTCTGCTGCATCATAGATTTCTTTAGAGGTCACTTCTGGACTGCAGTTTTGAAGTATTATATAACTGTTCTCACAATGAAGTTGTTTACTTTCAGGCTTCTGACACCACCAGGAACTCCACTATTCCCATCTCTAGAAGTTGAGTCGAAAAGGTCCCCGGTGAGCCAAGCTGGAATGCCAAAGACTCGTCCAACTGCCTTAAAATCTAGGGTGAGTTATTTGAACATAAGCTGTACTTTGGTTCTTGGGAGTACAACTGTACAAAACTATCATAAACAATATTTCTAACTTTCGAATCAGCAGACATAAAGTCAGTGAAATTCCACCTCATGGTGGGATATGGAACTGTACTTTGTAGAGAGGGATGGATATCAGTCATATCAGATTTCCTATGACAGGCAAGGTCACCAAAGATGATCCATTGTCTGCTGAACCTACTATAAGATTAACTGCGAAGATAACATTTATTATTTTTGTTGTGTATTTGACGTGAATTGTGCTTTTATGCTGCCCTCTGTTGTCTAAAAAGCCTTTTACTAGTCCTTATCGTGGAAGGTCGGGTGATGAATCCTTATGGCATTGGTAATTTATGATTTCTTACTAGAAATCCTTTCAGTAAGCTACTTGTGGTGTTACATTATACTTTCCATAAGTATGATAAGTAAATCGTCAGATTCATTACTTTCTGTTATATCTTCTCATAATATGTTATTTCAGTTGTCCAATCATCCAGATCCTCCATCAAGAACCAACCTCCCATTAAGGACAGCATCATCAAACAGCTTGAACTCAGTTGCTACAACCCCCGACCATCATCGTCTGGAGGGCTTACTACTAATTCATCAAGGCCTTCAACACCAACTGGACGCGCTGCATTGACAGCTAGTTCCAAAGGTTCAAGATCTTGACCCCCACTTCCCGGACAACTGTTCCTGCCAAAACTGGAGCTTCTGCGCCAAGATCATCAACACCGACTTCTAGATCAACACTCCCGTCAGCCAGGTCAACAACCCCTTCAAGCAGGGCAGTTGACCCTGCTAGCAGGACTTCAGCTCCTTCAGGCAGAGTATCCGCGCCTGCTAGTAGGTCATCAACACCTACTTCAAGGTCATCAATACCTGCTACCAGGTCAACAACACCATCATCCAGACCCTCCATACCAGCGCAAAGCAAGCCTACATCAAGGGCATCAACCCCAACAAGGCGACATTCTGCCCCTTCGGCCCAGCATGGTAACTTGGCTGCACCAGTTAGATCGTCCTCAATCTCCAAACCAGGTTCTACAATGCCCAAAGGTTCTTCACCAGCGAAAACAGCAGCACCAACACCTTCAAGAGGCAGCTCTCCTACTGTCAAATCAAGACCATGGAAACCATCTGAAATGCCTGGTTTCTCTCTTGATGCGCCTCCAAACCTAAGGACATCGCTACCAGAAAGACCAACCTCTGCCACTAGGGGCAGACCTGGGGCACCTAGTTCTAGATCTTGCTCTGTTGAGAGTGGGCCAGCTGGTCGACCAAGACGGCAGTCTTGCTCTCCCTCCAGAGGAAGGACTTTAAGTGGCAGCGTGCCTTCAGGGAGCTCCATGCCAGCAGTGAGAAGATCACATCTCAATGGAGGTGACAGTGTGAATCCAGTTCAAATGGGTAATAAGATGGTTGAAAGGGTTGTGAACATGAGAAGGCTAGTTCCTCCAAAGCACGATGATCAAAGATCCAGCCTCAACAGTCTATCTGGTAAATCTTCAAATTCTCCAGATAGCTCGGGCTTTGGTAGAACTTTATCGAAAAAATCACTGGATATGGCACTTCGGCATATGGTACGTTTTGCTTCTCCTCAGTTTAGTTAACAACATTATCTATGTTCAGTTGATTGACCTTGAGGTGTAATTTATTGTTTACAGGACATAAGGCGCAGCATTCCAAACAATTTACGGCCTCTTATGACAAGCATCCCTGCATCATCTGTTCATAGTGCACGTTCAGGATCCACAAGGAGCAGACCAATTAGTGTTTCAGACTCACCGCTTGCAACAAGCAGCAATGCTAGCTCCGAGCCGAGTGTCAACAACAACCTGATGTGCCTGGACAGTATTGATATTGATGATGAGTTGTGCAGAGATAGAGCAGGACCCTATGGACGGTGATTCACTTATTTGCAAAAAGTATAAAATGCATGATTCTGATGGAACTATTTGGCTACAGAATGTTCAGAGCAGCAGGGTGGAAGATCTCCAAGATGATCCCGAGTATCTGACGAGCATTATTATTTTGTTATATTTAGGTTCTTCGAACGTTAAATATTTATCCAGTCCATTCTTGTTATGTCATGCTCTGCAGCTCCATGTGCAATTTCAACCCTGGACCTTAATATGCTATTGAAAAGTGTCCTTTCATGTGATCAACGTCTAGAGCAGTTTATACCATCTTTGATTTGCGATTTGGTAGTGGAACATGTTCCACTGGCTGAACAGTTGTGTTCCACAACATGACAACATTCTGTGTTGCTAATGTGACGTCTGCTAGAATGCGTAGTTAACACAAACTGGGCAGCAGTATCATTTTTTTTAATAAAGGAATCAGACTGTCTCCAAACAACGAATTTATATGGACATCTAAACCTAAAATAGATAGTAAGAGATCTAAAATCAGTCTTCAACAGAATATCTATACGAGAGATCTATTTTGGGTTGGCTAAGAGGCACAGTCTAAATATGATCATCCTCTCTTCTGAAAACTTATTTGCAAAAATGATTCTCTTTTGGGTTTTGTTGTTGGAGAAGATGCCGAATATGTATTGAACCTTTTGTCTATAGCACTACCCAAATGACGAATGGGTTTTGTATTTTTGATGTTGTTGTTGGAGATAGCCTCAGCAGTATCAGTTTGAAGGGCTCTGGCACGACTGCACAATGCCCCAGGTCTGCTTATAGCCACAATGCTCAAGTATCGCTTATGAATCTAGGAGCATCTCCAATAGTCTTTCTAAATCTTACTCTCTAAATTATTATTTGAAGAGCTATTCCCATAAAAAATCACGTTCTATATCTTTTACTCTAGAGAGCTATTCTCGTCTTCTATTTTTAGCTAACGAAAAATTCGAAATAGAAGATGACTATATTTAGATGATCATTTAGAAAACCTGTTGGAGGATAGTTTTTTCATCAAAATCTCTATTCCTAGCATTTAGAAAAGAATACGAGAGTCTCGGAGATGCTACGATAGAATCATACATTCATACTCTACCATGAACTGATTGTTGATAAGCCACAACTGACAGATAACAGTTACAGCCAAAATAACATACTCATATACTATATTCTACTCTGATCGACCAACCTACTAACACAACCGGCAAGCTGCCACAAGAAACGCTCCTGCTTTTATTGGCTACTACAAGGAGCAATGGAGCAAAGATGACAGCAGAAAACAGAGCCGACAGGTTAAATACATCTCATTGGTACAATTGGAGGAGGAGAAGCCGGTGAGTTGTAACTGTTTTTTTTTCCTTCTCTCAAAAGTTGAAATCGATATCAGTTAATTGCGACGGGTCAAAGGGGAATGGGTAAGGCAGGCAGACCAGAAGTCCAAATAACAAAATGGCAACACCGATGCCAACGTAGTTGTTCTCAGGATCTGTGACTTCCTCAGAGAGAGGAGCAATCGGGCCCCTCTGCAGGAAGAAGATCAGCACCACCCAGTAGAAGGCAACATCGTTGAAGAGAGCTGCGATCCCAAGCAACCCAATAGTAAGGCTGCTGACCCGAGACGATATCTGGCAAGATTCCACGTTTGGATTAATCAGAAGTGCCCATTCAGAGCTCAAATGTAGGCCCTTCTCAGCTACAACTCTAATGTATACAATCAAGGAGGAAAACTTATCATAGCAACAAATTACCTTTCTTCCCCACATGGCCAATGCTATGCGGCCACCATCAAGCTCTCCAGCTGGTATGCTATTGATAGCATTGATCAGGAGACCAGCCCAAGCCCATAAAACAAGTGGGTTTATGGATAACTGTGTTCCTTCTTTTAGAACATCTCCAAGAAGAAGCTTTGCTGTATCAAGGAAATATTGATGCCTTAATTTTGTATTCATAGTCCATCAAAAAGCTGTTTCTTGCATAACTGAATATTACATTCTTGCAAAACTACTCAACTGCAGGCAGAGTACTAATGAACATCAGAAAAAACATTCCCTGTGCAGCTACAAGTTTTTGAATTATGATTGGATGCCTACCGAGACCACCGACAAGGAATGATTCATGGAAGACAGTTGGATCTATCACAAGGCCAAGGCCATCACTTGGAGGCAAGAAGAAGCCCAGCAGTAAAAGAACTAGTCCGAATGAAAATCCGGCCAATGGTCCAGCAGCTGCTAGCTTCAGTAGGTCCTCACGGTTGCGGATAATATTGACAATTCTGGTAATTGCACCGAAAGATCCTATCTACAACAAATTGAACATTGCAAGACTCATTATGTAAGTTAATGTACTGAGCTAGGTAAACCTATAAGAAATAAAAAATGATGTTATTTCATGCCAATGCTCTGGTCTACAACCATAACCCATATTTTAAAAGGCCTTTCATGTTAATTGAGTATCTACACAGAAAGTACACATCCAAATTAAAGATTGCTTTTTTATGAATGTCTCTACAACACATCTAAACACAATCTTTAACAAAGCTCTTGTTATTTATTTCAAATAGTTTCCATAAACATGCACCACAAAGATACAAATAATTTCAGATTTTTTCCTACAAGTAATTTACCAATTTTTTATACAAAGTCTTTACCTGCCAGCTAGGAACAAAATATGGCACGCCAAGCTTGATTCCACTTTCCCTGGCAGCAAGGATATGTCCAATTTCATGGACCCCTATTATAAGGCCAGTTACTAGGGCACCAGATAGTCCATCTTTCAACAACTCAAGGTTGTCAAATGTTGATCTGTAAGAGTAAGGCTTAGAAGTAGATGGAATTGACAACTGTGGCTTCTTATATACAAGATACTTGAGGAAGTATATATTTTTCTTCAAAAAGAGCAAACTTGTAATGATCGATGGCACAGAAGTAAATACATGGCAGTAAAAGAATGCAATTATTCACATGAATCAGACAACAAAAACAACAACAACAACAACATAGCCTTTCAGTCCCAAGCAAGTTGGGGTAGGCTAGAGTTGAAACCCACCAAAAGCCCCAAGTCACGGTTCAGGCACTTCAATAGCTGTTTTCCAAGTACTCCTATTCAAACATAGATCTCTAGGTATATCCCAACTTTCAAATCTCTTTTTATTGCCTCCCCCCATGTCAATTTCGGTCTTCCTCTACCTCTCCTCATATTATTAGCTTGACTTAGGACTCCACAATGCACTGGTGCCTCTGGAGGTCTCCTTTGGACATGGCCAAACCACCTCAACCGATGTTGGACAAGCTTTTCTTCAATTGGCATGAATCAGAATTAAAAAAAATAGCAAAACAGAAACACGAACATCACATGTATTAATAAGTCTTCAGTATGACATGGAACACAAGCTTTAGCATCTATTTACTACTGTATCAAGATTCTAGCAAGCACTTGAAGGCATACATCATCTATTACCAAGGTTTCAAAGTTCAACCTTGAGCAAGGTTCTAACAGAAAAGCAAAAGCATATATAGCAATTCAAAGATGACATCAAGATAGAGAAACATGAAAAAGGAAACAATCTAAAACAAAACGGACTGGCGAATAAATGAAAGAGAAACCTCGTACAGCAAGTTGTCCTGTAGAACAGGTACATTTCGAAGTAGCAGAGTGAAGATGGTAACTAATCCAAATGAAGCAGCAGCAAACCATTCTGGGAGCGCTGAAATTTAATTTATGAACTCACTCAGCAACCTTTGCACTGAATAAATATACTAATAAAATCATATATGCCTAACAATTAAGCAAAATATTGGACCATTCTGAGCACTAGCAATGCCACTGAAGGTACCAAGAATTTTGTCACCTGTAGTTTCAGGCTGTAATGTCTGCTTGGGTATAACCACAGCAACTGGCTTCTCATCCTCTGGGTTGATGAGAAGAAAAAGCTTAAATTCATCACCAAATTTGTTCTGTTGGTAACCAGGAGTTGAGCACAGATGAGACACTAACAAATTTCTATGATCATAGACATCTGAGCGCCAGTTTTGCAAATCATCTTATTAGTTATTACCTGTAGCCGATTTGTGATCTTCTCATAACTTTTGGCTGGTTTACCACGAAGATTTCCCTTGAATAATACTCCACCCTTATTCAGAAAAAGTAAGTTAGTAAATAGAACCGTCATTCCAGGCCATTATACTTGAGACCTTTATTTTACATGATAACAATGTCAAATTAGAGTATATATCATATATGTGATTAGTTTTAAAGTTTAGTAATATTCTGTAAGAGCACTTGGCTTAGTCAGACCAAAAGCATACTTGCTGGTAGTAGCATGCATCAATTGAGTATTTGAGTATGAATGTATCTTGTATAAACACAGTTAGTAAGGTAAAAATCTGATTTATACAGAAGAAGTTAAGCCATGACATCTCAGATATTTACCTCGTAAGGCTCCTGACTTGTCACAAAAAATGTGTCAAATCCAAAAACTTGATCCTTTAGAATGTCTATTGTAGCCTTGGGGATCCTGACAGAATCATCAAGCTGTTGCTGCAGATCAATTATATTATAAAAATAGTTTATACCATCATCTCTTCAAATTGCAGAGTTCAGACATGTGAAGCAGAAAAAAGATTCAATTTACAATGAACTCTAACATTGAGCTAATGATGAAAAAGCAGGATCCTTTTTCAGTGTCAACTACCACTCAACTAATGAACATACACGATGACTAAACAATTACCTTCATTCCTGGCAATGGAGATCCACTAGCAACTTCAACAACTTCCACATTTTCCTATGTTTAAAAAAATTATTAGATATGCCACAATTGTATTCTCAAATGTCTTGTAAGATATTAAGTTGCTGGGCATAAATTAAAAGTATACCTGTATATCATTGGTAGAAGTAGCATCTCCATCCATGTTCTGAACCGTGTCGCTGGAGCTCAGCAATTCTGCATTCGTGGTTTCATCTTTCTTCTGGCGAGTCATGGGAAAGCTAAATATATAATTCAGTTACACATTCATACAGCTAGGACTAGCAGGTAGAATGGAAGTACTGCTTTAAGTACAGGGCAAGTCAAGGCCAACACAAAAGGAAGCATACTTTTGCATAATATTTAATATAATGCAGGTTTGATTTGACAAACTGTAAATAAGATTGTACATTGTCTATACTGGAGTCACTTTCTGCAGGCCCATTTGCTTCTGCAACACTATCAACCGAAGGTGATGAAGCATCATCTCCAAACTCTTCTTTCTCCTGGAAGGAAAGGTCAATTATTTAATCCTTGAATTCCTGAAAGATTCTGTCTTCGTGTTCAATTCTAGATGAGGTGCGTTTCTATATAGAAAAACTAAATGGGTCATTGGTGGATGAAAAATGAGCAAATCTGGCCTTAATGTGCTTCAACCATAGCAAATAATTTGGTTGCCGGAAAATGTGATAATTGGCACTTCAAAATGCGATACATTGCGCTATGTACCTTCTTGTCGCCGTCGCCCTCGGACTCGGTCTCAGTCATCGCTTGGCACGCAACCTTTCGACTGCTCAGCCTTCATACAAGGATTGGAAACAAACCAATGACATTAGCTTGCTCAGTTGAATGCTCCCTTGGCAGTTGGCACACGCAAAACCAAGAAAAGCAGCGGACCTGTGCCCGGTAATCGGGAGGCAGCGGAGCGCGAGCGTGAGTGTGCGTGCGCGCCCCACGCACCCACTCCTCGCCGGCACGGTGGTAGAAGCGAGCAGGAGGCGGTGGCAGCACCCGTATGCCGCGGCAGCCGCCTGCGACGGCGGCAAGGAACTCATGGCGGGCAGAGGCGGTGGTGAAAGTGGCGGAGAGGAGAGCGCGCGCGGCGTGGCCTTATCCCATTCTCGGATTCTCTCCTCCGCCTCATCGGAGGGAAAACAGAAATTCTTTTCTGCGGTGAAGATTTCACGCTGCACTAATCGTAGAGCCTTTGGCAGGTAGGGGTATTTTTGGCAATTAGCCATTAGCCGCTGCCGCACACGACGAGAGGAATAGGGTTGCTTCTGCCGTTGCCGACTTGCCGTCGCCACTACCGCCGCCATCGCTGCAAGCGGCATGAAGACCTTCCCGCTGTCCGGGGACAGCACCATCTCCATCGCCCTCTTCTCCGACGTCTCCAACAGCCGGTACGGACCTGCTTATACATCCTCTCCTCTTCTAACATCGCCGCTTGGGCCGCTGTGGCCACTAGCCCAGGTCTGGTTTCCATCGATGAAATGCGCACGGACGAATTGGCTTAGATTTCTGGTTTTGGCGCTCTCAGGGAGCTCCTGGACTTGATGCAGTCAGGGAAGCTGGAGCCGGAGGTCGCTTTCCTCAGTGCATCATTGGTTCGTTGCCATTTGCATTTTTGGATATGCCGCACTGGTAGTTTCCTAATTGTGGGTTAGTTTCCTAGTTGTGGATTTCATGGTTTTTGAGGCTCGTTATTCATGCTCGTGGATTTCAGGTGCCGGATGTGTTCCCTGTCCTCGCGGCAGCGCTTAAGGCGCTGTTGTCGAAGACGAGGGAGTCACTGACCACAAGGACTCTGCACTCTGAGCTCGTCTACAACTACTCGGGGTCCAAACATGTGATTGATCTAACTACTCTTGATACTTTTGCATTATTATGAGGTTGGTCCGATGCAGCGTTTGATGGTTTGTCTGTGATCATTGGTTTCAGATAACGGAGTCTCTGAAGCAATGTGGGATTTCTGATGATACAGCTTACATCCTTGTTACTTGTTTTGATGCTTCTGACTAGGAGGTATGATTTAGGCTGATAGTTTCACTAGGTTACTGTCTGAATCCATCAATTGCATGCTATTCTGATAATCTGCAATTTAGAACCCATTGTAAGTCATAGGAGATACTGATTTTCTGTTAGTAAATACTAACCCTGTACCAATTGGCACTGACTGTGTGTTTGGTTCATAAATTTGTGATCTTGATCTGACTGATATTGGACGATAGTTGAAGTGTTAATGGATCCAGAGATCAGGCTATACACCAAATCAAATTTACATGGATTTGCAATATGTTAATCACCTTGCTTAAACGAGTTATAAATTACACCTCATGTGCTGCTGCTTACTTCCTTACTATGAAAAGTAAAACAGGAAGTGTTTCTACCATTCTTAATTTCTTGCTCCAGAAACCTGGTGCTACTACTCCACACCCTATTTATTGTGCCTTCAATTGAGCGTTTATGGTATTCATTTGAAAATTTTCAACCAACTTTGAGCTTCTATATCTGAGCTTTGTTTTATTAATTGCCAACTGTTACCATAGTTGCAAACAATGACACTTTTTACATCCATAATAGTTCAAATGAGTTCCCCCCCTCTGTTTCAAAGGTGTCGGCTAGGCGTCCAGGTGGCAACTTTCCTTGGGGCCTAGTTACTCCTTGTCGCCTTTAAAACCATGGTTCTCCCTATATTCTTCAAAATGTAAATAACTAAACAAAAAGGGAACAGTTCAAAATCTGTGTGCTTACGGTTCATAACAGAGGTCTTCATAACACACACACACACATTTTTTTTCTTGAACCAGGTCCCCCCATTTTTCATTTCATGAACAGAACCAGTTCAGGTATTGCAGAAGCACGCTAAAAAATAGAATTAGGTTAGAGCGGTAGGTAGCCATTAACTAAACCTGCATCAGGAAACTAGAGCTAGCCCTATTAGACACAGTTTCCAACAAGCATCAAAACCACCTAACAAGTTCAGCAGACACCCGCTGGCTGACTTGAAACCCAGAAGAACTAAACAAGCTTCAACTACTCACTGGTGCCATTGGTTTCTCCAGTCGTCTCTTGTTCAACTCCTGCCTCATCACTGGTTATTTGTAGCAGCTGGGGTTGCGCCTGTTGAATCATCTTGGCCTGGAAGGCCACTCGTAGCAGAATCCCGGCTCCCTCCAGCACGTTTTCTCCTTGAAGCCATTCTTGTGTAAACCCTGCCCAGTATACCAGATAAGAGCAAACAAGACAAAGAGTCTCACATGGGTGTTTGATCAACCTTTATCTGAACAGGCTCTATTTGTTGCTTTCCACAGCCCAGCAGATAGTTAAGACACCCAATGTGTGAATTTCCTTACCATCAGGCAACACACAGCTTATCCAGGACTAGTATTGATCGAAACTTGGAGGCCTGTTATTGGCACTGGCACCCAAACAGGAAGCTACTACACTCCATAAAACTCTGCTAACAGGATAGTCAAATAAGAAATGATTTATCGTTTCATCTTCATCACTGATTTTACAAGTGGGGCAACCTTTCCACTCCCCCTTGATCATATTATCTTTTGTAAGGACAGCTGATTTCTCTATCAACCACAAGAAAATCTCGACTTTATTAGTAATTTTTGCTTTCCAGATGTTTAAAATGATTTCCCTGTGTCAGAACTATTCAGATGTTCATAAGTAGATTTGACAGGAAAAGACCTGATTTAGTTCATGCATACAACAACTTGGTCATCCATATCACTAAACCATAGGCACCTTACATGTTTGACTTAAGATGACAGGATACTGAGCACAGTGAGGGGACTCACTCACCAAACGTCAGACCAAAACATAGCCTCCACTGTTAATTTCGTTTTCCTCCCCTTTTGGGTAAATATGTTTGATTTTTAATAAACCAGACCAAATGGGGGAATCATTTCTCCTCGGCTTAACAGATCCCACAGTTTTATTTCCACCTTTCTTTTGGCTTTTGTAAATCTTGACCCACCTTTCTTTTTTATTTCTTGGAAGTAAGTCCTTGCCAAAAGCAGGTTCTCCTTTGCTTATCCAAATCATTAGTTAATGTTTTGGGGAAGCGAATACACTGAACATATGCTATATGGGGAGTTATTCAGTGTAGAATTTAATGAGGATGGATGTACCAGCAATCGACAAGGAACTTCCTTGCCAAACATCCAGCCTTTTGGCTGATTTCTCCCTTGAAGGGACCAAGTCCATGTTCCAATTCTTTTTTCTTATGCATTCATGAAAGAAATACTGATGTGAAAATCGCAACTTGGCAGATGAAGGCAGTGGAGAAGCTCATCAGTGGCACTGAGATTGATCTAACAGAACTGGAAAGAAGAGCAAACCAACCACAGTTCTTGAAGGTTTGCCATCGAACTTGATGCTAGTTATGTACTGTATGGTTCTTATAACTATTTATCCATTCTGGCTGAAGATCGTTTATTGGTCTTTTATCTATTGGCAGCATTACAAAATACCTCCCCAAGAACTATCAATATCTACGTTGCCGGACGCAATTGTATGCAGGATTGCTCCTCGAGATGAGGCGAGGGTAAGGCTTGCCACTAACACCCTTCCCCAGACCCCGCACAGAGTGGGAGCTCTTTGCGCACTGGGTACGCCCCCCTTTATTGCTGCTCGAGATGCTCTGTAAAGTCTCAATAATCATCGTACTGTGCCACACCTCAAGAAGTCAAGATTGAGCTCGATCTGATCTGCACACCTGGGCCCTCGTAAGCTAGGTACTTTCAGGATGTAGCTCTCTCTCTACCACATGTATGAGAGCACAACTAGAATTAGGTATCCGTAATACCATTGCTGTTCGCATTCCCTGCAAGCAACCCGGAAGCACATTGCGTTGTGTAATTTCCCTCTTGAATTCGATGAAGCTTATTGGATAGAAAACTAGCAAAGGAATGTATGTATCTGATGTGGCGTGTTAACCAAATCTGTCAACACGGGCATCGTCTCATCTGAGCTGCACCAATTGGTCACCAGAAGATGCCGAAGAATATCTGGACGTGTCTCCCATTTCGGCCGTGAGGCATGGCGTTTGCTAGAAGCTGTCCTCCGTCGAGTCTGTAGGTAATGTAACTATCGAATGAACATGATTGTAGCATGAAAGTATTATAGAAAATGATTGCAAGAGACATTATTTTTTAAAAAAGAGAGATTAACTCTGCTTTAAAGAAACAATGAGTAAGGGCGGATTGCCAAAGCAGAGACCACAGCCGAATTATATATATATATATATATATATATATATATATATATATATATATATATATATATATATATATATATATATATATATATATATGTGTGTGTGTGTGTGTGTGTGTGTGTGTGTGTGTGTGTGGCCAGGATGTCGCGATTGACAATCTTGTGCTTGCGCGCCTTAATCAAGTGCTAGGACACTACGTCCTTTCACACGCAACATATCCAGAAATAGAGAGGATGTGCCCACAAGATAGCCTGTCACTAAAAACCAATTTTAAAAATAATCGTATTGTGGACCATTCCTATAAATCTAGAGATTCTCAGAGACGGTCCTAAGTCCTACTTACAAATCAGCCATAGAAATCGATTTTCATGACCCCTTTGTAAGAGCGTGCCATGTTTTAGAAAAATAAAATATTTTTAGTTCCGGTCTCTCTATGAGTTGTGCTCTCAACCAAATAGAATTAAAAGTTTCATCCTCTGCATGAAAAAACAAAAACTAGCAAAAAGCCAAATATACACAGATTGAAACAGCCAAAGGTAAACACCGAACCTTTTAGAAGACAACTATTCATGATTGGTGAAAATTTCTATGACCGTCACTTCCAACATATGGCACACCATATAAAATTATAAATAGTTGCCATGAGAATAAATTTATAATTTTTTACATGAAATTAAGCAAAGACAAACTCTATGTAAAAATCATAGAGCTTGGTGAGATTTAAAAATTTATAGTGGGTCCTAGGAATCTATTTCAAAGATACTTTGTAAGGAGGAATTTCTAGTAGGGATTTGTCTATCCCCTATAAATACGTTATTATGCGAACCTTGCTTAGTTATCGTTAAGAAAACCGTTTCTAAAAAATCAGTACTAGCCATGCATGAAAATTGTTCATATATTAGAAAAGGACATCATGCGATGTCCTGTTGCCGGCACTCTCCGTCATACAGTACTCGGAGATCGTACGTAGTCAACGAAAACAGTAGATTATTACATGGGACAACAGTACGAAGTGTGATCCATGTACACGGCTGTGAATGCATAGCTTAGCTAACTTCACATCCGTGTGTGCTACAGAAAATCAAGTGTATATGGCCTGAATGGCTAGACAGGCCCCATCGGCGCGTGGAGAGTTTGTCCATTGGGCCATGGGCAACAGAGAATATGGGAGCGCGGCAAACTGTTCACAGGGGCCCATGACCCGCAAATTCAACTGCCATCGCTAGCCTGCTCGTCGTTCTCGGCCTGCGTCCCAGCGTTCCCACGGCATCCTTGTCGTCCTGGCCGTCAGCCCCAACCAAGCACTCATGTTCATGAGTCCTGAGCTGCTGATGTCCTCCCCTGCGATGTCCCCAACCACCAGTGGTTTGTGGGCGACGTCCTCCTAGGCGTTGGGTAAGCCGTAAGCATGATGCGCGGTGAGGAGTCCCCGCCGAGCACGATGCATGCTGAGCATTGGGTAAGCTGTAAGCACCGTACCGCCACGAGCCAGTGACAAGTGAGGCCGTGCGGCAGCAAGAGGGACGGACAGCCGGTCCTGTAATTTTGGGGCGGGGCCGCTGGCCGCTGCGGTGCCCACGTACAGTTTCTCCACAGCAAGAATGCCGCAATGGATGTGCGTGCTATGCGGATGGTCGGGCGAGACGTGCGGCGCGCGG